CTGGTTCAAAACACTACACTCACGTTAGCTTTCGTTCTACATGATGAACGTTTTGTTCTTCTTTGTGATTGGCTACTCAGTTCTCATCTTGTTTTACCTATACTGTTTTGTTCTTTAACTCGTTTATTAGCATGGTGAAATGAATGGTCGAAAAAATGCGTCACCAGTATTAATAAAATCATAATCACTCTAATGTTATCAAGATTTGTCTTTTCTAATACGCCAGTTTTCTATTAGCATGCAGTTGTGATCGATGCATCTGATGAAGCACCAGCTACAGAGAGGAAGTGAAAAAATTAACGGAAGAAGAAAGAGAGAAAGGAGAAATAGATAAGGAAAGGGAGTCTTTGGAATGGTCTTGTAACCGACTTTCGCTTAACCTCAGTACTACTATTCAGTATATATTCTTTCTTTGATAAGCTTACACAGGATTGGTAAAGGTTGATAAATAATCATTATTCCGTTAGCGTTTCAACGTCTTTGTCTCCATCAGAGCCGATGATCCGAGTCGATGGTGCACAGTCGTCTGTCTTTTCGATGTGGTGTCTTCGTCTTCGTGTCAAGTCAGATCTTCCTCACTGGATCACCTCTCGAATATGGCATAGTCATCCGGTGATGCCCTATTATGCAGGATGCTGGTTGTTGATAATAGTGATTGTCCGGTGATGACTTGTTTCTTCCAGACAATAACTCGGTGTCACTATCAGCTAGCGTAGAGCATAACAGTATGTATATATATTATTATGCTGGAAGTATATAAATATAAATATATATATATATGCCAGATGAGACACGCGATTATAATCACCGGACAATCACTATAACCAGCAATCACCATTCTGTATAAGAGGGCATCGCCGAGTGAGAATCCCTCATTCAAAAGATGCTCCACTGAGGATGGGCGGACTTAATAAGAAGACGAAGACGCAACATGGAGAAGACGAACAACCGTGGACCGTCGTCTCGGATCATCGACCGTGATGAAGACGAAGACGTCGAAACATTAGCCGAATCAAGATTGTTTGTTATTCTCTGAAATAGTATCCTGAAAAAATTCGGGAAAGGATTTCGCTTTGCTAAAACTTTCTAGACCTGCTATCTTCTATATATATACATACATATACATATAATACACATATATATGTATATGCATATATACATATATATATACACATCTAGACATATATGCGTACTCGTCTCGCCGTTAAAAATACGTGGTGTTTTTGTAGAATGCGTCCTACCAAAGATTAAGCTTTCAGCGTTGATCAATTCCTGAGGGATGCGCCACGTATTTAACTTCATCAAGCATCGCTAGAGGTGACTGAATGCATTTCTGGCCTATAAGATGACTTGCGGTAGCCCTACTGATGTAACAACTCCAGCATCATTTTGCTGATCCTGAAGGGATGGAAGGTTCGGTGAGTCTGGGGTATGGGATCAAACCTATGTGTATTGCAGCGCACCTCCAACGACTGCGTTAAACGCGCCCACAGTTGATCCTATAGAGTACGAAAACGTCTTTTAGCTCGTAAATTTCCAATTTTAGGGTTCTAATTTTTTGAGAAGTAAAATTTACAGAGAGTAATCGATAAGGACGTGCAAATTCGGTGTGTTCATTCATCACGAAACGGACATCTGTTATCATTGATCCGCAATATCATTAGCACGCGCCAGAAGTTGCCATAAAGGCGTCTGATAGTGACTTTATTGGTTCAGCTCTCGTCCTACCTACGCGTCGTAAATCCGTTCGCTCGATTAAACAACACACTGTTCACTCCTGAATTACCACCGTTCTCAGCACTTGGCCCCAAATAATGTTGGCTGATAACTCGCTCGTCGCCTGCTTTGTTTAACGCTTAGGCCCGATCTGTACACCGGCGGTTTCCGTTTCATACACGTAAACCGAAAATCTATTTGGTGATCTTCCTCATCTAGAGTGGTGGCTATGTCTCTATATGTTATATCTGAGACCTAAACATTGATAACGGGACGAAGCCAACATTCACAGTGCGTCTTAAGGTAACCAACCGTCGGGGAACACGCCCACAATGACATGACCACGCCTACAAATTCAGACTAATGACCATCAGTAGTAGTTGTCTGGGCCTCGATATCGGCTGAAATTTCTCATGGAAATGCAGATTTTATCTAGAATTGTAAAAATGTGGTAGTCTCATATGTTTTCTGTTTTTTGTTTATTAGTTCAGTCATTCGCATTCCCTAGCCTTACAGCGCAGTAGCCTTCAACGCGAACTAACTAGACGGACACCCTTTATGAAATCTGGACCTTGTGACACTATCGTCTCAGCTTATTCGATTTCGCCCTTTTCAGAGCTCATTCTGATCGATTACTTCCACTATTTCTCTCTCCCGTTCACGTTTTTCTCTATCCTCTGCACTTCAACTATTCCAATCCTCCAGTCATTTAATCTTCTTTTCATTACTAGTTTTCTTCTAATATCGCTTCTATTCAGTCGTTTCATCCAGTCTTCCAATTTTTCCTCATCCACGTAATAGACTCTTTTGCATATTTCGTGCGCATTCCATACCTCAAGCTTCGGCTCTGGACGTGCTTTCCCCAGCGCCATTTGTCACCGTCTCGTGGTCGCGTGTTGATAGCGAGCGTGTCCCTTTGATGCCGTCCGCCATTACAACCAGCCGCAAGAGAACGAAAGAGAGTGAGCCAGGAGCCCTCTCGTTCAGCCGAGGAGCCACCTCATGAGTCCGGCGGAACACAGCGTTCGTCCACCGCTACCGCCTGCTGCACAACGTCACCATCAATCGCTTTTTGCGTTTGTGAGACTCGCTCGAGTACAGGCCATCGTGAATCTCCCACTCTATCCCGGCAGTAGACTTTCCTCGTTTCTCTACCCACACATCTGAACTGATACAAACGCTGTCCGTTGACATTCGTATCATGCGAATCGCTTCTGTAACAATACGAACCACATCATTATGTGCGTTTATCTGCTACGAACAACAATTCCTTTCCGCGTTGTTGCACAGTTTCGACGAAAGCCAACAACATGCCGAAATCCATGTGATGCTCTTCACTTCTTGACTATCGGTTTCCAGTATTCCTTAAATTTCGTAAATTTTCCCACTGAGTTTTAATTCGTGTCAAACATTTCTACATTGCAAATATTAGCCTTGATGAAATTTTTCTAGTTTTGGGCAGTATTCTCGGTATCGTTCAATTTCTTTCAAGTCGAAAGATCTGAAATTTGAAAGAAAAGAAAGCCTTAAAGCTTCATCTCCTCTGCAACACGCCGGTCGCTCAATTTTCGTAGAGTCGTATTCTAACTAGCCATGATCCTTTTGGCAATACATATTATTGTACCACTGCGCTATTCACGGTTGTAAAAATAGGAATTTTTCATGCATTTATATCCTTTATAGGAGTGGTATTTAGGTCGATAAAGGTGTGGTGGTAAAATGTATAGAGAAGTTAAGTTGGTGACAAGAGATTTATCTCACTGATGTTTATCGACATTATTGAAGCGCACTCGTTGGCTGTAATCCTTCCAAAGAGGACATTAACAGAATTGTGTTATCTCCAAGCACTATAAAAGGTTTCACTTTTTTGCGATGTGGTTAGAGATGAGTTTTTATTAGTATTTTCCTGCTTTTTATCTCTTTTTGTAGTATTCCGTTTCCGCTTCATCGGAATGAATACGTTGCTTGTTCGTGTCCGAAACACAACGTTCCCAGCGCGCAGACCATTCATAGGATGCGGATTACAGTAGCCGGCGCGTGCTGATAACGAGCCCGACTCATGGGGTCATGTGAAAGTCCGACGAACTCTCTGGAAACGGACGGCACCGACGATGGGCAGCGGGAGGAGCTCCGCCGTCACTAGGAGGTTTCCCATCGACGTCGACCGCCACACCCGTAATCACTTGTTCATCGTCGTTGGCACAAGAAAATCGAATCGTATACGATTTTTGCGATCGTATCTTAATGGTGTCATTAAGATACGCATCGTCACTGCATTCAATGTTGCGTTCTCGCCGATGTTGTGCATTGGTTACGGTACAGTGTTGTGAGTAGAGTGCTTGTGACACACGACGATACAGTGCGGTTCGCTTATCAACAACTCATTCCAAACAAGGTTTGAATTACGGCAGAGTTTTTTAGTTTTCCAACTTACCATTGTTACAGTGCAAGTAGGGATGGGCGTGGTCACCCTCTATGACGCATACGATGGAGAGATGGCGGTCAAAAAGGTGGTCCTGACAAAGATAGTTGCACCAACTGTTACCCCATCCGATGGAAATTCCTCGATAAGTTTGCTATGATGGTGTCTGATAAGAAGAATAAGTAAGAATAAGAATAAAAATAAGAATAAGCAAGAAGTAAGGAGCAAAAACTTAGGTTTGACTATCGTTTCTTTTTCAAAGGTTGTAGACATTTTTCTGTTTCTCAGATCCACTCCACATTTAGTCCACTGCAGTGAATAGTTAAACTAAAGTGTTATCCTCTTCTAATGAATTTTCCTGCTTCTAAAGCTTATCATTCCTCGACTTTTCTCTTTGTTTTCTATCGATTTGGCTACTTATCGTCAGCAGTGCGTGTTAGAGTATTTCTCGAAATTTTTTCTAGATGACTTTGCTTCTATCACTTTCAACGTAGCCATTGATCTTGCAGAAAATGCATCTGTCTCCCACCACATCATTTACATATTCTCCTCCAAGTCCAGATTTTCATGGCGATCGAAAGGTGAAATGTTCCTGCTTATTGTTCTTAAAAATTCCATGCTGATGATGTAACGGCACCATAACAGCGATAAAAAACATAAGCTTTTTTTTAAATGAGGTCATATCTACATCGGTGTGACTGGCAACTTACTTTCTGGCAGATACACATCACTGATCTCTGACTCAGATAAGAAAAATTACTGAAACAGTTTCGACTGATTTCACACCAAACGAGGACATTTATTATGGGAAACAGAAATATTAATGATGATAACAATGGATGTTAGTAGTTCGATTTTTCAGATGAAGAAACCAATGATGGAGAAATTGCGCCGAAAGCGAATCAACGATTCGCTTCTTTATCTCAAAGAGTTCCTCCTCAACGTCTCACCGCAGCAAAGGTGCTTAGACACTTTTTTTTTCCAAAAGTACTTATGGTTGTTTGCTAGTGAAGATGAAGCATCGATAGTATGGAAAGGAAATTTTCTGAAAGTTTTCTGTATTTTCAGAAAGTCGTTGAAGCTTTGGGTTAAGGCAATAAAAGCACTTGGACTATATTCTTCAAAGTGAGTATTTTCAGTTCGAAGCTGGAGAAGGCGGATATCTTGGAGTGGACGGTGCGATACCTTGAAGAACAACGCGGAAACACCTCGGCAGCTAGCGGTAAGCTGCTCCGGCCTCCTTTCACGTCCACTCCACTCTAATCTTCAGTTGCTTCATTCTTCTTGTATTCACCGATTATTGTTTATTCATTACTTAGCTATGCATCACGTTCATACGTCGTTTTTTGTCATTGTTAAATCATCGGGGAGACAAAAGAATGGTTAGAATAAGAAAAAAATGGTAAGAATACAGATCAAAATATCATTAAATGGTGGAGGCAGTCAAAAATTGTTGGGAAACATTTAGCGTAAATTTTTAAATCTTGAAACAACTTCGAATAGTTCAAATAAATTTTTTTCCTTGGACAAGCGTTAATAATCCAGGAGATATGCGTTAAGAATAGAACCACACTGATAACCTCTAAGACCCTCTAAGACCATAGGCCACTTCATCTATCAAAAGTCGTTGATCGATCAGGTTGGTTCAGCTTTGACGAATTTGGAATCTAATTATTCAGCCTTTTTTACTTCGTGCTTTGTATAAGTATCTATTATTGATGTTTTTAGCTGAAAGTATTTTAACGTTGCTTTTGATAGGCATTAGGACATCCACTAGAAAACTCACAAGAATTAGTCTCGTAGGATTTCAGATGCGGCTGCTGTGTACCGAAGTGGTCGCGAAGAAGGATTCGCACGTGGATTCGCACATGCTTCTCAAGCTGTTTTCTCGTACTTACAAATCGCCATGCCGCACGACTTTAATCCTCAAGCACAGCAATTCCATCTCGGACTAGTGCATCATCTAAAGTTTGTCCCTTTTTTCTGCAATCAGCTAGTTTTTCGGATTTGTTAGTTTTTCGGTGAATAGATAACTTTCTCACCACACCAGCCACCTTCTTTATTTTTTCTTCTTCATTTATTGAGCTAACGTGATTTTTAGTACTGCATTGCCATCAAGGTCCGGATTATCGACATTATCTCGTATTCCCGAGCAACTTAAATGGGCACCAGGCACACCGCCAGCATCCGACACGTCGTCGAGCGAGTCACCTGAGCCGACAGAAATGCCAGCGCAAGCGGGCCGATCCAAAAAACCACCTGACAGGTCCATACCTCTCCCAGAGAAAGGAGATCACTGTCACGAGCCACCGTCGAAAAAGGTCTGGCAACCGTGGCAATGAACACTTTTGCGCAGAACTCCTCTAAAAGCAGCATCAGTTCAAACATAGATCTCAATCGTCACGTGTTTTCGTACTCTCTTGTAGCTCCATATCCCTTCCGGTATTTAACGTCTTAACGAATTTGCATTTAATTCAGCACTTCTGATGCAACCTGCTCTTTAATAGTTTTTGGTAAATTGTTCTGTTCAGTGTTTGTATTCAAAATGTTGTCAATAATTTCTCCGTCCATAATGTTGTGTAGAACTAGATTAAATCAAGTTTCGACAACAAATAGTATTTTGAAAACTTAGGTGTTTTAGAATTCTAGAAATGCAATGAGTTTAGAAAAAAGAAAAAAAAGAAAAAAAAAAGGGTTAACAGGATGGTTCGACTGTCTTTATCAAGTGTCATATTTGTCTTTCCCACTGGCGAATCGTCCGGGAAGAGAGCACACACGTAGATAAAATAGATAGCAGGACGAATGGTCGGAAATATGCGAGAGTCGGTTTCGCTCTTCAGTATTTATTCTCGATTTTTCCTAGGTTAATTATGACATCAAGTCTTTGTCAAGTATAAATCAATCGGTGACCGGTTATTTTCCGAGAGGTGAAATCAGTTGTAGGAGGAGCAAATTTAGAAAGCGCAATTTAAAATAGAGTTATAGGACTGGAATAACAACTAGTAATGCAATGAGTGACGTCATCTCAACTATTTCGTACCGAAAGTTGTCGATTTATATGAACTGAAATACAGGCTGACAGCTACAGTAGTTGCATGCGTGTACCCTACAGTATTCGAATACTCGGCTAAATCGCTGATGAACGATGTGGACTGAACAGCGACATCATGCGTTAGCTGTACATCCCCAAGCGGACGTTCGTTGCCATCCCATTGGTGTCTAGTCTGCTAACAAGCATCCCAACGATCACTGGCTGTGGAATGCAGATGGTGATGGACCGCCGTTATTCGTCGTTGCTGGCGCTGTCGTTGTTGTCGCCATCGTCCACAGAACAGCACGTTATGTCTCGGCCCGGATCGTGATGTCTACGAATCGTCGCTGCATAATATTCGCCCTTTCGCACGATATCCAATTCGCGTTTTAAATGATTAAGACAGGCCGTCTACTGTCATTCACCAACCACTTTGAAGCTAGAAGTTTTCAAACTGTGAAAAATTGACTGAGCAGAATTCGATGTTAAAGTTGTCACATATACGTCGCAATGTCTTTAGATTTCCCAAACTTTCATTTTCTGCGAGATACGCTGGGAACCTCTGCAAAATCCGTTAAATAGTGTAATCGTAATAAAATAGCAGTAATAATAATAATGGTAATAATAATGATAATAATAATAATAATTATATGCCTTCACGTAATTCTTCTCAAGTGAACGCTAACGTTATTTTTCAATTTTATATGCTTCGAACTGCTTTCATAGCACCGTGTACATTTGTGAATTTATGAGAAAGTCAGCGATAAGTTTCTGAACCTTTGTCGGCCTACGGCACCACTTTTAAGCCGAAACCAGACCAAGAAATTCTGCCTTCTGTTCCCATTGGTCATAGGATATGTGAGGAATCCTTGCATATGTGTCTGAAGAACGGATTCGCTTATGAAACATTTCCTTTTCTGTGAGAGATGAGATGAATACAACATAGCCGAGTTGTTAACTAGCTATTCAACATCGCCTCTTCGCACTTAATTGGATGCGTAGGTCCACAAAACTTGTCTACGAATTTTAAAAATCTGGCGCAATTTTCTTGCTCCATAGAGTTTTCTGTCACCGTTTTTGCTGACGTTTGAGTCTACGACGGCAGCAGACGGATTGGTGGCGACGCCGAACGTCCGTTCCGCAGAGTACGGTGTTCCACTGACAGTGCCGGCACGGGCGCGCGTCCACAGCTGGAATGTGGCCGTGCAATGTCGCAACATTAGGGGTGAACCTCACAAATCAACCGCTTGTCGCTCTCATCGTTACAATGTTTCGTTTTTTTTCGGACATGCGCCAAGTTTAACACACTACGCCCACGACAATTTGGAGAATTCGTTACTGCAATGAGCGAGAGACGTGCGGAATAAAGCGCTTTGACCAGGAGTGACAGAAAACCTTCCAAAAAAAACAAAAGCAAAGCGAACACTCAGAATATGATTCTCGTAGTTGCTATTGAGAAAGAAATCAGATCACACTAGCGCTAGCAAATCCACAACTTCGATTAGAAGCACAGGGATTCTGCATCGAAACTCATCCATTTGTTCAAGAAGAACAAGAACGGTCTATGCTCATCAATGAGATAAGCTTAGTAGCTTTTGGAGCTTCAGAAACTTGTTTCAGCTTGAACACCAGAAATGTTCTACAATAATGATTACAGTAAGTATGCTGTTATGTGCTACTCAACCAGTTACCTTAGGATAGATTATTTTGGCTAAATGAACAAAGATTGTCTGATGAAAATAGTCCTACGAGCAACTTTTTGGCTTAGCAAGTAATGATCTAGAGAATAATTTTGACAATTTCATTTCAGATTCGAGATAATGAGAAGAAAGTTTTATGTCTGCTGTGGTGATGATTAAGATCCTTGTATGTAAAGTTGTCTACGATCGGGTAGAATCGTTTGGGCCGTGGAACGCACAGGATTTTTCTGTCTTGGGCCTGAAACTGCCTGTGGTGATGAGGTGGAAGCGCCGCAGCACCGCAGTTCGTCAGAGCGAATTTCGCTCAGCCAATATTCCACAAGTCGATGAAGAAGAGATAGAAAGCCAAGTTGGATCCGAACGCGCTCGGGACACAACGACGAGGTCTCTACGAAACACGGTTGCAAGTTATGAAAACGAATTTAGGAAATGCTAAATTGCGAACAACTAGTCCAAAAAGAGGCGTAATCACTAGAGAAGACACGTGATTTGGTATGACCACCAACAGAGACCAACGAGGTTTCTAGCCTGCCAAAATCGATAGATTTCCAGCAGACCCTTCCGTAAACAGAAGAACGCGGATTTTGAGCGACTTAAAACATCATGATACCTATGCTTAACCTTATTTATTTCCTCTTAAGCAAATTTATAATTGTGGAGCAAACATGCTATTGCTGATCAGGACCGAGCGTGGATCTGAAGATATGTTTCCTGCTCTTCAAGCTTGCCATCCAACGAAAAACTCAGTCGCAGAGGGTGGAGATCAGCGTGGGTGATCACCATCCTGTTTACATGTGTGTGTTAATAAGAAAGACGGTCATCGTGGGATCATACAAGTCTCATGAGGACCTGAGAAGTGCTGCGGTCACGAGAAGCTTGAAGTACGGCAAATCGTTACGCATTTCAGCTGACTCTGCGTGAAAAGGATAATCTTCAATGTTTATTTCAAACAAAACTTAGTTTTTGAAGAATTGACTTAATCAACAAGAAATGTCTTAACTTTTCAAATCGCTTAGCATAAAATTGCCACTTGTGGAGAAAAATACTGCGTTACATAGAATTATTTGAAACACGTGGACGAAGGTAGGAACTGAAACCCGACCGTGTCTTTTGGTGAACGACGAAAGAAATTTTCTAGAACCATTCGTCCATTAAGGCTTCGTTACTGCGCTGTGAGAAAAAAAGAATGTACATTCCTGAATTCTGAGTTTAAACTAAAACGGTTATATCTCCTATTTTATTCTCTGGTTCAGCTTGAGTACAGAAAGCAGGGCGAAAGAGAAACAAATGGTAAGGTGATCTGTGCTGTTGCTAAAATGTTAATTACATGAATGCTTGAACAGACCACGTTCACGGAGCAGGTGAAGTCATGAGGACTCCATCAAAATTTCCTTTCACCAGTACTTTGCTGATGGAGCAAGATTTCGTTGCACCGGATTCTCGAAATTCTTGCTAGGGCTTTCCTAGGCCGTCTCCACTTAAGATTTGCCTTGTTTTATTTCCAGGAAGGCACTGGTAGATGGGCTTCTGAACGAAAATGTCGCTCTCCTTCTCTACTGAGGGACTTTACCGGAAAATGAACACCTACATTTCGATACCCATAAACCTCCCATAGAAAAATTCGAGCTATCTCGGAGCAATGAATTCATTTGAAGTACAACGGAAATCACAAAGAAAAGCAGTGCGAACTTTTATAATTTAGAACTACTGTAAAGTTGGCAAGTGAAGAAGAGCTGAATAAATGAACTTACGAGAGGAACTGGCCTATGTACTTCCATTTCTCACAGCAAAAGACCAAACTTCGACAGATGAGTGCAGATTTCTACTTCTTCTTTATAGCCTCTCAAACGTAAGGAATCACCCGAAGAGTATATTTTCGTAGTGGATAATGACATTGGATGGAAAATATTTACAAAACCGACTACAAGAGCTGACCAGCAAGAGTTTTTGTTCAAAAGCAATAAACCAAAAATGTAGATGTCGGTCACTGGCTGAAATGCTTCGGCTGGAGTAGAGCGAGGTACCGAAGTGCGCTTCGTCGCGCTTGTTATTTTTTCAACGTCGTTGTTTGTATGTACAACGTATCTCGCACTGTGTATACACGATCGGGGCAAAGGTGCACGACGTGGGAAAATCAGCAGCGGATGGTCTTTGCAAGCTGTGACTACTGCCGACACTTCCGATGAGAAGAAAAACGACGACGCCGACATCGACGACGACCATAACGATGGCAGATGACCAAGAGACTGGCAAAATACGGTGGTGAACACCACAGAGCGTCACAGTTGGCGGAACGTCGTATTCCCAAAGTTATGAAGCCATACAGTCGACGAAAATATGCCTTATTCCAGACAAAGAGTGGTTGCGTTCACTCACAGAACAACACGCTCATTTCGCATCATCAAACTACCACATTTCCAGCGTCCGATGGAAAACCTGCTATAAAAAATTGGCGATGCGAATGTATCATAGAATGAGTCGACGCCATAGTATCGGCGCCATATGCCCGAAGATAATCGACAGTGGGAAAACCGACCAGTGTTCGTTACAATGGACTCATGAGTTTTTTTTCCCGTCCACGTTTTCACGCTTCGACGACCTTTTTTGGTGGCTACTTCAATGTCTTTATGAGGAATGGTGATGAGAACGGGCCGTGTGGGAAGACTGTGGCTAACATATTATGGAGCTAAGGTTTTCACCTGTTACTTTTATAGACAGAGTAGTAGACGAATAAAGCAGAAAAAATGTTCTCGGCATTCTAAAAAATGTGTATAAATCTGTACATCGAAGAATTATAGAGGATAAATCAAGCCGTTAATCATGGAATTCACACGCGGAAGAGATTTTAGGTGGTTCGTAAAGGAAAAGCGTCTGATAAAGCATTCCAACCTGATCGTGTGCGTGACACGATGGTGATATTGTAGCTTAAAGGAACATGACTGATCTCGAGACCTTACCGATAGTGGATGGTAACCTCGAGAGATGGTTCAACTTCTGCTCCAAACCGTGCAAGCTTGATGCAATGACTTTTGAAGTGACATTCTCTCAAGGTGATATCAGAGGAGTGTATAAATCACAAATATTACTACTAATTACTAGGTTTCTATTATTAAGTTTACTTTTCTTGGTTTCTTGACAATTTATAATGCTGATATATTTGCAAAACTCCGGACCGCAGGTAACTGCGGTTGGGAACGAATACGCTATTATCCTTTCCGGGGAGTAACGCGTTCACCACCACACCATGCGGTCCTTCGTTTCGCCTGTTTCTCAGATAGTTCTATCGATCACTGCCATCAGCAATCACTCGCACATGACAATTACATTAGCATTAATATACTACATTAACACATTACTTTACTACCGAGGTTATATGACGGTTGGTTTTGAAGTCACACTGATTCTAATATTAGAACGGTCTCTTTTCAGATAAAAGCACATGCAATTGGTTTCCGGAAAACAATTATTTTGCCATCGTAAGCTTATTTTGCCAAAAACGAAATTTTATACTATTCCAAGTACATATGCCTCCCAATCGTTTACCGCCTCATCGTGTCTGGGAGGTGTTCCTGGGTGTCGGACTGCGATGTACAGCAAGGGTTTCATCCCTTGGCAGGGTAAGCTAAGCTGAGGAGTCCGGTGTTTTCATTGGAAAACCCAGTTAAGGGTAAACCAATACCAGGATCCACCACCGTCCTGATATCAAAGTCGCATAGTGGTAAATCTCCCTCTGATCCACAAGGGCTGCAACTGCCCGTGGTGGTGAAGACCTGGGGCAGACTTTGGCCAGAGTGATCTCGGAACTCCAGGAAACCATAATGGCTTAACCTGCAAATCTCGGAAAAATGGAGATTATGCTGGTGCCCGCACAACCAGTGAGAACGGGTCATTCAAGTGTTCAAGCAAGTAAGTAAGTACATATGAGGCATGCTTTCTTGGAGTAACATTGAGTAACTGTTTCCAATGAATGACAAGAAGCCTCCTATTACACTATAATTTTGGAAATCCATTCCGGATAAAAACGTACTACAGAATTTGTTGCTTAGTTGTGCGAGAGTTCTTCTCTGCCACTAAAGTATGTGGTTCATTCTTCACGTTTCCGCGCAGACACAGTGTTGCCTTTCAACAATTCTGCCATCCAGTAAAAGTATCCGGAATCAACAGGGTCTTTGAAAAACTTTATTTGAATTCCCCTACCCTATCTGTAAGTTTGAGATCAAAAATTACGCAAGATTATACATCATTTAGGTAGCAATGCTAGTGGGAGAGTTCATTTCGAGTCTATGAGAAGCTCTTTAGTACTAGCAATTTCATGTGAAATGCGATCGATATCGGTTCTGAAGTCGAGGGCAGAGTTCATGCGTGTTTCTATGAAATCCCACTGCGCAATATCTCATGCACAAGGCTGTCGGCCGACATCTCCCCACTAGCGCGTCCTCACGGCGGCGCCACACATCTGCCGGGCTGCAGGCGAAACGGTGAAAGGGATCTAAACTAGGGGTAGGAAACCTATCCATCCC